GTCCCACAGGGTAATAAGCTACTGGCACTCACTTTGGAAGCTCCAATGATGAGAGTGAAGGGTGAAGAAATTAAAGGATTTTTGCCACCAGCAGGAATTTGTGCCTTGAAGGGTGTGGGTTAGAGTGGCAGTGTTGGGGACAGGGGTATGCACAAAATGGAACAGCCCAATGACCCGTGGTCTGCTTAAACCCTACTTGTTTGGGTACAGCAAGTGAACTTCGAAGATTTCAGAACAAGACACAGGAGTGGGAAGTTCTGTTGTTAATCCAGGCAATATTCGCACTTGAAGGCATATTGTCATAAACTGACTATTTCTCATGTCATGTTTGTATACACAACAATGACACGCTCTAAGAATAATTGATGACTGCGAAATGCTTTACTCTTCGTGGGATCCCAAGGAGGTGAAAAGTGCAATTTGAATGAAAGTGTTCTTTCCGAAGTCAAGTTTGTGCTATCTGATCCTAGTTGCTAGTTTGTTTAATTTAGTATTCTAAGCATTACTGACAACGCCCCTTAACACTAACATGCTTCATTATGGTATTGTCTTAATCACTAACTTTAATCTTCCTTATAATAGCGATAACTAATGTGGTGTGCGCTAAAACTCTGAGTTGCTTGACTAGTTATTGGGGCAGCTGTGCCGCATTGATGGTTGTGAACATGGAAACAAAATCTGTACAATCCATTTGTGTTGTAACCGTTTTATGTATGTGTCTATTTTACAGCAGATGACAGATAATCTAAATCTTTTCAAACCAGATTACAACACTGACTGTGAGCCAGTATGTGTTTTCTCTCTCTCTCTCTCTCTCTCTATTTGCTGAGCAGGAAATGGTTTGTGGCCATTGGAGAATGTGAATACAGGTTGCCAGTAATCTGTAGCTTTGCATTTCTGGTCTATTAATAAAGTGTCTCAGAATTGCTGAGGTAACACTTCGGCTTTTAATGCCTAGATTTCCTTATACATTCATGATGCAGTAGTTTAAGCAATCAATAGGCAATCCAGTTCACCCTCATCATCGCAGAGTTAACCCTTGCATCCCTAAATCTCCTCTGTACATCGGGGCATGTGAGGTTGTTCCCTCAGAGTGTGAGGTTTTGCTAAAGTACACTTCAACTCTGAAATATTACACAGAGATTGTGAAGAAATACAAATAGCTCAGCTTTCAATACAAATAAAAATAAAACAATGTGACTGTGACTGGATTAATTCTACAAAAACAACACCTTCTAACACACTCACTCCTTTAAAAAAAAATATCTGGTTTATAATTGACACATCTTGTTGTTTATTTCTCAGGTCTACATTTCAGCAATTTCCTGATAAGTTTTTTTTCTCTGACAAAAATGAATTTTGAATCTGATGGTTAATTTGATCATTTAGCAGGAAATAATTCTTTTGAAAAAGCTAGATGTTGAAAAGCCTATTTACCTTGCACATGTCATAAAACCGTTACACACTGGAAGATAGATTATCTTGTGTGTACTACAGTGCTGCTACTTACAGGAATATGGGTTATCATGTGTATTACAGCTTTGTTAAATGCTGGAGTATAGATTACTTTGTACATATTACGGTATTGTGACAAACTAGAGTACACATTACCTTGTGTGTATTACAGTGTGGTTGCTTATTGGATTACAAATGATCTTATGCAGTGATCACTCCTACCAATACTGTCCGGGCAGGTGTATCCATGGTAGGTAGACCAGTGAGGAAGAGGTCAAGTTATTTATACCCCTTTATCATTTCTCTCACCATCTGCCACAGGCCCAGGCTAGCAGTTATGTCCTTTAGACCAGCTCAGTCAATAGTTGCTATACTGAGTCACTCTTTGTTACAGACATCAAAATCTCACTCTCAGAGTACCTTCGATATCCTTGCCACCTCAGTGCCTCAGGTAGGGTGCAGTATAGATTCCAGTCTGTAACAACGCTGTAATACATACTGGATAAT